GGCTCTGTGTTTGACAGGGGGGGGCTCCCCAACCCCCTGATCGGCCCTGCTCTGTGTGTGACATGGTAGAGCCATAACCTCTCCATCGGCCCTGCCCCGAGTGTGACAGTGGTGGCGCCCCAACCCCCTGATCGGCCCTGCTCTGTGTGTGACATGGTAGAGCCATAACCTCTCCATCGGCCCTGCCCCGAGTGTGACAGTGGTGGCGCCCCAACCCCCTGATCGGCCCTGCTCTGTGTGTGACATGGTAGAGCCATAACCTCTCCATCGGCCCTGCCCCGAGTGTGACAGTGGTGGCGCCCCAACCCCCTGATCGGCCCTGCTCTGTGGGTGATAGAGGGTGGCGCCCCAACCCCCCTCCACGGGCCTTGCTCTGTGTGTGACAGGGTAGAGCCATAACCTCTCCATTGGCCCTGCCCCGAGTGTGACAGTGGTGGCGCCCCAACCCCCTGATCGGCCCTGCTCTGTGGGTGATAGAGGGTGGCGCCCCAACCCCCCTCCACGGGCCTTGCTCTGTGTGTGACAGGGTAGAGCCATAACCTCTCCATCGGCCCTGCCCCGAGTGTGACAGTGGTGGCGCCCCAACCCCCTGATCGGCCCTGCTCTGTGGGTGATAGAGGGTGGCGTCCCAACCCCCCCACCCCACGGGCCCTGCTCTGTGTGTGACAGGGTAGAGCCATAACCTCCCCATTGACCCTGCCCTGAGTGTGACAGGCAGCAGCGCCCCAACCCCCTGATTGGCCCTGCTCTGTGCATGACAGGGGGTGGCGCTGCAACCTCCCCATCAACCCTGCCTTTGTGACAGGGGGGGGCGGTGCCCCAACCCCCCAATCGGCCCTACCCTGAGCGTGACTGAGGGTGGCATCGCAACCTCCCGATCCGCCCTCTGTGCATGATGGGGCGGCGCCCCAACTTCCCAATCGGCCCTGCTCTGAGCCTGACCAGGGGCTGCACCTAGGGATTGGGCCTGCCCTCTGCCACCCGGGAGCAGGCCTAAGCCAGCAGGGCGTTATCTCCCGAGGGGTCCCAGACTGGGAGAGGGCACAGGCCGGGCTGAGGGACCCTCCCTTCCCCCTGAGTGCACAAATTTTTGTGCAGAAATATCAAATTAAGAATACTAGAGGAATACATATTTATGGAAAGCTTTTTTATTTGATTTTGCAAATCAACTTTAGACAAAACTTTTTTTTGTTACCTTACTGCTGAAGAAAGCAAACAATACTAATAAACAGATAATAAATAATAAACAGATAATTTTGTGTTTGAAATTTAAAATCAGTATCTCTAAATTTTATATGCTATATAACTTATTTTAAGCAGTATAGGTAATTTTTTCTGCATTTTTGTTTTATAATGCACACAGAACAAACAAAATTTGACTGGTTTAACAAAGCCAAAAAATGAATTTTATCCATAGGTCTTATTAAGGATATTCTTGTGAGCAGTGATGTGAAACCACCCACACATGAAAAGCAGTACAGAGCTGGTCTAAAACTTTTATATTACTCAAATATACCATGAGATGACTGTGAAAAAGGTAACCTGGCTAATACTATTTAAGCTCTGTAGGATGCTTATTGAGAAAAGAACAATTCTGAAATACAAAAATGACTTTTAAGTGAGAAGTTTTAGCAATACTTTTTTAAAAACTCTTATCTAAAAATATTTATTGTAATAATTGAATAGAACTACAGGAAGCCCTTGGCACTGACAGAGAATATTGATTCTCTGTTAGGTTACAAAAAATTATTCATAGCAAAATTGAATGCTCTTTACATAAAAATATCAGACTACTTAAAAAACTTTAAAAATTTCTGGTAATAGCTAACAGAGTTAGAAAACTAAAATTAAACATTAGATATTGCCTATTCTAGAACACTGGACTATAACAGCACCTTCACTGCTCTAAAAAATATTTGTCTGTCATGCAACAGGAAAACAAAAGAACAAGATTTTCTGTAGCAACTGTTCCACTCAGAGGAGAGCTTCTCCCAGTTAAAACAAACAAACAAACAAACAAACAGGCCTTGGCCTCTGTGGCTCAGTTAGTTGGGAGTGGTCCGGTGTACCAAAAGGTTGCTGGCTCGATTCCCAGTCAGGGCACATGCCCGGGTTTCGGGCTTGATTCCTGGCAGGGGGCAACCAATCAATGTTACATTCTCACATATATGTTTCTTTCTGTGTCTCCTTCTCTCTTCCTTTCTCTCTAAAAAATTAATAAACTATGCTTAAACAAACAAAAAACTCCACCACCACTACCACCAAAAAAAAAAAAAAAATAAATTCCAAAAAAGAAAAAAAAAAAAAACCTTGTCAAAATCCAAATAGGTATTTTTAGGTTTCATCAACAACAATCAAAAAATATCCAGATGAAATACCATACTTGCTGTTCAGTCTTAATAGCCTCTTGATAAAGGCAATCTTCCTTTCATTTTAATATATTTCTGCACATGTATATGTTTTATAATTTAGGAAACAGCCAAAACACAAGGTAATTCTTAGCATGAATATACATAGTCAACTATATATTATGCATCCCTCTTTGAAAAAAAACTGATGTCCCCAACAGTTACATGTATCATTTCATAAAGAACAACACAATATCCAATACCTATAGTCACTTAATGTTCCGGAATACTGAGATTGAGAAGGCAAGTTTCTTTTGAAAATAGCTTAAAATCAATGCTCAGTGGTTTAGAATGGAACCATGAACCAAGAGGTTACCAATTCAATACCCTGTCAGGGCACATGTTCAGGTTTTGAGCTCGATCCCCAGTAGGGGGCCTGCAGAAGGCAGACCATTGGTATTTCTCTTTGATGTTTCTCCCTCTCTATCCCTCGCCTCTTCCTTACTCTCTAAAATCAATAAACACATGTTTTTAAATGTCAAGTGTTGTTTTATGTTTGTTTTTTGCTGAACATCAATCTTTATTATTCTAGGAAACTAACATTTAGATTACAAATGAAATAAATACCAACCCTAATTTTAAATTAATTATTCAAGTCCATAAAAGTAGACTAGTGGTCTATTTGCAATTAGGTTTTAGATAGTTGGTATAAAACTATATGTAAACTCACTATTCAGACTATAACTACAGAAACTGGTCCTATCCTATTTCTAACAAGACTCAGAACCAAACTTTAAACCTTGGATACACCACTTAACAAGTAACATTTGTGTTAATACAGCCCTATACTTGCTAACAGACTTGATGGTGTGAGTACTGTGTGGGTTTTGTTTTTGAACTTTCTCATTCTACAGGCTACCTACAAGTCAGGGGCTCAGACACAAACAGTGCAATGTATACACTCTGAATATTGTGGATAATAGAGAACACCTTCCCCAACCTGCTCACCTTGGGTGGGCTGGGAACTGAGTGATGGAGATGCCGGGCAAGGACATGTGACATGACAGGGCAAGATACAGAGGCGACAGAGCCGTTTAGATGATGAAAAGTCTCTGGCCAAGGCCCCGGTTTTCAAGGCTGAGGTGCTGGAAGAAGTAGCGGCATAGAGCTATGATCAAAGTCTCACAGACTACATGCTAATAACATGGGTTGGGTAACAAGTTCTCAGCATGGATGCCCCAAGTCTGATGGCTCACCTGGTATGGTCTGGGTGAGGTGGGAAGCCCTGGGGCCAGGCCAATGTCCCACATGTCCTTCTCTAGGTGGTCCTCATTCAGTGGGCAGAAAAGGTGGTTTTTTCAAGCTAAAATTGGACCAGTCTATGGACAGTCTTTGTCGGGTCTGTCTGGTGGAATCCAAGCAGAATCTTTTGAAATACTCCACTTCCCTCTCTGTCTCATCCATCTCCACGTTGTCTAGGTCAATGTCTTTAGGCATAAAGACATCTTCGAGCGAGGTGTCATCTCCATCTCCGTCTCCCTTCTTCTTCCTGTTTTTCTTGCTCTTGCCCTTGGGCTGAGGGGTGTCTGCCAACACCTGCTTGCTGTGGTATACCTGCTTACTAGGGCAGGTGGGCTCAGTGGGGCCTGAGCTTGCCTTCCCTGCTTTGACCTGGTCCGGCTGTTTCTTGTTACTGTTTCTGTTGATTTTTCTCTCCTTTCTCTGCTGCTCCGACATCGAAGTGAGATCAAGCTCTTTAGTCTTTGGCTCAGTCTGGGTCTGGGATCTGGGCTGGACCTCTGCGGCTCCAGAGAACTCCGCAGGCTTCCTCCTTGGCTCGCTGCTGGCCTTCCATGCTTGTTTTGGCTTTTGTTTGCCAGTCGCCTCCTTGTGGTGATGCTTTGTGTCTAGGAGAAAAGAGAAGGGCTCCTGCTGCTTCCCACTAACCTCCTTTGTCAGGACAAACTTGGAATCCCCATGAGCCCCTGACCCTGTGTGGGCTGAGTGTCTGGAAGGTGAGTGAGAAGAGGTTTTTGGTTCTTCAGTTTGCTCTAGGGAACCACTGTGTATGTGTGCAGAGACAGATACATACTTGGTTGCTGCCCTGAAATTTCCACCAGGCATGTCCAACTTGGGAAAGTCTTTTCTTAGTTTCTCCTTCTTTCTCACAACTTGGGGCTGCTGAAACTCCTCTGGAAGCTGCTCCTTCATTTCCTCCTGTTGTTTCTGCTCCTGTTGCCTCTGCTCCTCTTGGAGGTGCTCTTGTTCCCGGGCCTTGGCCTCTGCTTCAAGGTGAGCTTTCTCCTCCAGCTTCTTTTGTTTTTGTCTTGCCCTCTTGGCTGCCCGTGTGCTGCTCACAGGCTTGGTATCTGAACTGTCTATGAACTGCAGCAAGTCCTCCACTGTGCGATGATCCACCCCACTCTCCTGTTCAGAGAGCTGATCTGTTTTCTTCGATTGCTCTTCTTTTCTCTTTGCCAGCCGGAAACGAAGCTTTTCCCTCATGCCTTCATAATTTCTACCTCTTGGTGCAGCTGAAGGCCAGTTGCGCTTGAAGAATTCACAGCAGTAGTCACAAAACTTGCCTTCCTTCTGACCAGCATAGGTGCAGGTGCAGGTGCAGCTGCTGGTGCTGGTGTTGGAGCTGTGCTCAGAGCAATTGTCTTTGTCTGCACTCTTTTCCCTGCCTTTCTGCCTTGGGTCATAGCCACCTTTCTTGCTACCCTGCCCTTTGTAGTGGGGGCTGTAACAGGATGGCACAGCCAGGATCGAACTGCTGATGAAGAAGCCGGCAGGTTCCCCCCGGGCATCAGACCTCTTCTTCACTACCTCGGTATTGTTGTCATCCGATGGATACATTTCAGCAAATTTAGCTGACAATGAAGCCACATCATCATCACTGCAAGTAGTTGGTGTAGATACATTGTCTGTGTGGGTGAGTCTGGGCTGCTGCTGGATTGGAATGGGAGAGCTGGAACCTGACCCCAAGCTTGCTAATGACATGCTGGGCAGGTGACTCTCAGAGAGACGGTCAGGAGCAGAAGAACCCGTTTGGTGTGGCAGCTGGCAGACGTGGGTGTTGCTGGGGGTGGGAGGGTCCATGATGCTACCAATAAGGATGTGTGAGCTGCGATCAGGTGATGACAGCACATGCCTCATGGCACTGGTCAAATTCTCACCAGCGCCCACTCTCCTAACGGTTAACTGCTCTTCATGGAATTGCCTTTGTTGAAAATGCTTCAAGTCTTTTGCTAGCTTGGTTTTCATTCTCACCTTCTCCTTGATGTAGACAGTGACCCGCTTCTGGCACTCCAACCACTCCTTGGCAACACTGTGCATCTCTTCCTCAAAGTACTGGTACTGTTGCAGCAAGGCGCTGTATAAGTCGCTGCTGCAGGTGTCTTGCAATGTAGTTCCCAGCCTGATTTGCATCACCAGTGCTGGCAAGTTGCTCTGTAGAAGGAGCTCTGAAAAAACCAGATTTTCAAACAGATGTTTATTATGCAGTTCCCATGTCACCTGGAACACAGTCAAGTGTTTATTTTCTAGAGTGGTGAGGAAGGTGCTGATGGTGCGTGCCGCCTGGCAGAAGGTGCCATACTCCTTGAGGAGCAGGGAGATGAAATGGTAGGCTTGCACAGGATTCTGCAGGCAGGATGGCACTCCGGATGAGGTTGACAGCCGTCGCAGGAGGCCGATCTTCATCTCCAGCAGGTAATCTCGTGCTTGTTGATCCAACCGCTGGTATAGCTGGGAGGGGTCTGACTTACAGAGTCTATCTATGAGCTCCTTCACCCACTCTTTGTCGGGCATCAGCGTGGTCCCTGCCTGGCGGTATATGCCGCGGACAAGGTAGCGCACTTCCGCCCAGTAGTCCTGCAGCTGCTGCGACTCGGGGTCTAACTCTGGGGAGATCGCTCTGGGCTCCTTGCAGACCTCAACGGAACGTGGGGTCTCTGAGGGTCGGGGCAGCCTCCCGCCACTTGCCCCTTCCGGGGATTCACTACGAGGGCCTTGGTCAGGGTCGTCATGGCCCGGTGCTGACTGGTCTGAGCCGCGATAAATCCCCAACTTCTCTAAGGTCCACTGGCAGTGCAGACACACCCACAGAGTCTGGTATGGCTCACTGTTGCCCATGGGAGCCATGAAAAGGCCCAATTTCCTCGCAACCTTAATCCCACTCTCTAGGGAAGAAGAATCTTTACGCTCGGTTCTGCACAGAACACAGTAATCAACAGTGGCGGAAGGTGGAGTTCTTCGAGTGTCCCCAAAGTTAAAGGAAGTCTCCAAGTAGCCTCCAGAAGCGGCGCTGCCCACAGGCTCGCTCACGCCGAGGGGTCTGTTTGCCGCCATTGTGGCACCTGGGACTCCAACGACAGTGTCCTGGGAGCTGCCCAGCATGGCAGTTGGGCTGCCCCTGCCACTGCTTATGGCCCTGTGGTCCCCGCCTCCACCACCCCGCTTGTTCTTACGGCGCTTGGCCCCTCCTTTAGCACTGGCCCGGCTCATGGCTAGAGGGCGGTTGGCGGCCGGAGCGGCAGGGG